GTGTGTGTGTATGTATAGATAGATAGATAGATAGATAGTTATTGTTGATAAATAAAATTATTTATTATTATTATTACAAAATGTAATCATAATAATATATAATAATAATATACTATACAACAGTTAGTTCCGGTCCTCGAATCTGATTGGCTGAGAGCCTTCTCCAGCAGTGCGATATTCTAGTGATAACAGCACTCCAACCGTGTCACCGTTTGTATCACTCTGCTTGCAGTGTTTCTCACAGCGAGTGTCATGGCAGATGACTGAATCCATTATTTTCATTATAATAAAGTTTTTGTGTCACGGAATGTAGTTTTAAGAGTTTGTAGAGAATGTACTTGTTTAGACTTCAAATAAAAGGTTTGTTAATAAAGATAACATCTATTTGAAAATGTGCTTCGTTGTTTTGGGAGATGTGAGCTCCAGAGCGTCAGCGGCCGTTCAGCGCTCATGAACACGCCGAGAGCAGCTTCACCTCGGACAGATCTTCTGGAAATTACCGCTGGCTCTGATGTCTCTATAGTGCTTAAACATGAGATACAATTCGTTTTGGGTAATTCTAACAGGCAGTCTTTGCTCTCATTAATCTATTCTTTGTTCCGGAGCAAATAGTTTTGGCTGAGGGCAAAATCTCATCACGTTATATTTTCTATTACTTTAATGCTGAATATCAGAGTGCTACCTTTGTACTTTGAATTGCCTAGCAACTTTTATGATGGCTGTTGTTGTTTATTAATTATTCAATAAATAATAGTTTATATAAATAAATAATAGTTTATATTTACATAATAGTATTATTTATTTAAAGTATTTTGAGAAACAGTGTGTGTGTTTTTGATGGTGATTTTAGAGACATTATTCCGTCATTAGATGCGAAAGAGACTGTTTTTCAGAGTGAGTCCGCCGTGAAGACTTTTATATTGAAAGAGACTGAAACAGGGTTGTAAACAAGGAAGTTATTTTTACTTTCAGCAACAGCTTGTAAGACGCAGTTAACAAATGCAGTGAGCAGCGGTTTCATCAGAAATCACCCTTAACAGATGAAAGATAGTACGACAAAGATATCGCTTTCCTCAGCGGACATTCAGACTCATGTTTTATTGTGAATATGAGATTGAGCTGAAGAATGAATGCTGTATCAGATGCAAGTAATCTCACTCTCAGTCCATCTCTCTCTCATAATACAATGAGCTTTTAATACAGTAATACAATAAGCTTTCAATGAAGAGACTCAACGTTCCTTCATTACTAAAGTTCTAAAGTAACGTTCTCGAATTAGAAACAGATCTTGAGCTCAGCTGTTAAACTGGCAAACTGAGATTTGAATCTGTGGCGGAAGGAAGTAGTTCCGCACAAAAGAGGCTTTTTAAAGACACTCCGTTGTTGTCTCTTTTTTATTTTACATACTTGTGCTGTCGAACTGTTGTATAAACACAATATCACACGAGTAGCCGTGCGATATGGCTGTATATAAGCAC